AAAATTTCAAAACATTCATCTTTTGTTTCTTTCTTCTCCATCTTCCTTATTCTTCTTCTTCTTTTTCTTCTTCACTTATAACATAATGTGGAACATGGTTCTAGATGGTAATGGAACTAGTGAAGAAGGTGTGCGGCAAATCCTTCTTCACGGTCTTTGCATCATCTGCGAGCACGAGATGACCTTCAGAATCATTTCCCTAGAAGAACGGAACACTCCCATCGGCATCTTGTTTTCCATAAACGAAACAATATGTGCACAAAGGGAAAATTCACTAAAGTTCAGGAGAAAAAAAATCAATGCTAGATTGAAACATTCACTTACAACAGCTATAAAAGTGGTTTTTGAAGAGCCGTCGTAGAGAATAAATGAACTGCCCATGAAGATCTCTCACGACAGGATATAGGCCTCTATCTCTCAAAGTTCTATAAGCTTCTATAACAATGATCACTTCATTTGCTATCATGTTTAGTCCATAATGTTGCTTAAGATGAGCGACATTCTCAATGTGGCCTTGAAACAAGCAGAATATGTCATCCATGATAGAGAACAATCTTGTAGAAGAGCTTGATAAAGTGAGAGATTAATTAAAGAACTTGTAATATCTAAAGCATTTAATTAAAGTAATTCACGACAAAAGAAACTTTTTTTTTAATATTGACAACAGAGAGAGGTGCCATTTATGAACCAAATTTGCAAGGTAAAAGAATGGGGCAATTTAGTAGTTCAACGTAAATAGAAGAATTCCATGTATTCCATAGCAATTAAAGGGAAACCTAAATCACTCTATAAAAAACTGAAACTAATAGAACAGAAATCAAAGCAATTGAACTCAATATTGGCATGAATGTTAGCAACCATATTATTTGTATTACCCCAACACATATTTGCTTATATATGCATCTTCCTTATCACCAGTTCTGTTACCAGCTAGAATCATGTTTCACATCATGTTATAAGTGAAGAAGAAGAAGAAGAAGAATGAGGAAGATGGAGAAGAAAGAACAAAAGATGAATGTTTTAAAATTTTTGAAATTAATTTTCGGACAACTTTCGGCATATCAAAACCGCCCATTACACGAAGAAGTGAGAAAGCGAGGTAGTGTAGGGCAAAGTACGAAGTAAGGTGAAGAGAATGGTGAAAGAATGAAATAGAACCGTAAAGAATCGATAAAGATATGAAGTCCGAAAGATGGCTCAAAGAAAAGTAAAAAATGAGAAGTCTTATTTTTTTATCAACTTTCGAAGCTCCGATAGCATACAAAAAGAGAAAGAACGATACATGTGAAATGTGATACGAAAACTAGACAGTGAGTTGAATCCAACGACGTAAAAATGAGCCAAAACGGAGTTATAACGAAGAAGATAGAAATGTTTGAAGTGGTGGTTGCTGGTGATGGTTTGCTGGTAGAAAATGGTGGGTCTGCAATTTGGAGCCAAAATGTTATTTTTTTTTAACTTTTTCTGTTTCAAATCTGACAACTAGGGCAAAATTGATAGTAACTTAAATAGTATAGGGGTACGCATGAAAATGAGAATAGTTTAGGAGGGTCATTGAAAATCGTGACAAAATATAAGGATAAAAATGAAATAATCTCGTTAAAATGAGTAAATTATTTTTCTCACAATTATGTAACTTCGTGTAATATTTGATGGAAAGGTTATTACCAGTTTTGTTGAGTATTAATTTAAGTTGTCCGAACGTGAAATCTATATTTGCTTTAATTGAAAAAAGTTTTGGGCTAAATTACACTTTGCGCCCTGCATTTTGTACCAAATTTTATTTTGGCCCCTATATATGAAATCATGACAGTCAACTCCTGCACTTCTGATCAAATTCTATTTTAGTCCCTACACATGAAATTGTGATAGTCAACCTCCTATATTTTTTGTCAAATCTCACTTTAGTCCCTACACAAGTATCAATGTCGCTTTTCTATTACTCAATTGTTTAAATCTTTAATAGAAATTAATCATGTGACAAGAATGTGACTACAACATAAGAATAAGAGAGGAAAATCATCTACATTTTTCACTAATACACACTTTGTCCCAAAATTTATATCAAATTATGACTGTTTTAGGTTAAAACAAGATACAAATTGTGAATTATTAAGAAGATAAATTAGGATTTTGCATAAATTGGAATCACGAAATTCTGTTTTTCACGGTAACACAATCTTCTATCTATTCATCTTCCTTTTTCTTTGATTTCTTAGTCTCATTTTTTTATAATTTCAAAGGTTTTATTTTCTTATCTCTTCATCCCAATTTGTAGCATATAAACACACACACACACACATATATATATATATATATAGAGTATGATATAACTCTTTGAACTTTTTAAATATAATTATAGACTTCTTTGAAGTTTGGTATGTATAATGATATATTATGGTTGCAATTTGAATAAGGTAATTATAGGAATAACAATCACAAAATTTGAAAAAATAAATAAATCAACACCAATATATTTTGGTAATGATTGAGACTATTTAAAAATTAACTTCATTTATATAAATTATATTTTGTGCTAATCATAATATGATACCTGTGTATTTTACGTATTATAAAATTCAAAAAAAGAGTAAAACTATATGCATCAATTAATATATTAATTAATGTACTAATAATTGATGTAACATTGTCACTTTAGAATTATAGACCCACCTAATATGGAAACACCCAAACCCTTTTGTTTTCCGCAAATTACTCTTCAGTCTCTTGTCTAGAGACCCAAACCAAAAATGAGAGAGAAAAATGAATTTGGGAAAAACGGCGAACCCCTCTCCCTTTCTGAGAACTAGTTCATTCAACCACCTCTTTGTTCAACCTTCATTCATCTCCTCGGACGTATTTCTCTTGGGCCTCCCTCTCACGGATCTCGAGAATTTTGTTTTTCATATTCAGAAGCAATTCACTTTGGGGGTACTCCATGAATATTGCAACTAAAGTTGTACGAAAATATATAAACTTGAAATATTTGATAGAACTCTGTATTGAAAAATGATTGGAGAAAAAGCTGTATTTCTCAATTTTCACAACTTGTTTAACTAGTTTCTAAAAAAATGTTAGAAAAGAAATTTGAAAACTCAACCAAACAGAGTGAATTTAAAAGTTTTTTTTAAACATTTCTCAAATGCTTCTAAAAATTTTGTCATGAATTTTAATTTAATTGACATTTTTTTTTCTCGTTGTTTCATCCTTCTTATTGTATTATTGTTAAGCAACAGGCATAATAAAATTTGACAAGAACATATTTTTGCCTCAAAAAAAGGTTGGGTCCTGCACTCTTGCTTCAAATGCATTATACTATAGGTGACAATTATATTGCAGATTGCACATGGGCAACCTCAATCGATAACCCCATTCAAACTACATGAAATGTGCCACCAGGGTTAGTGGTGAGGTAGAAAGGTACCTTCCTTCCACACAGTTAAGTAGAGCTCAATTTTTGGGGATGTGACTAGCGGCCCGTTTTTTAAATGGTGAAGTTGACTGTGTTGTACTCCGATCGTGACTCTGCTTCCTGTTCTGGGGGTTGGTGCATTCCTCTCTTGTCTCGTTGGTGGGTTCCTTCTTTTGGGTCTGATTAAATCTAACCAGCAACTGATTACCAGAGGTTAAGGCACACGGATGCTATGACACCCCCAACGAAGTGTCTTTTTTTCTAGTTGAAAATAAAAATAAATAAATAAATAAACTACATGAAATGTATTTGATCATATATATTTTTAAGTGACTGAATTTTGTATAATTACTTATGTTGCTTGTATGTTGATAAATTCCAGTGTTGTTAATGGATATTAATTTTTATATTCACTATTTGGACTTAAAATATTCATAATTTTGGTCATTTTTTTAACTGTTGAGATCATTTTAAAATAGATCTACCAAATCTAAACACTCTCTCAAGTTGAGATCCTAACTTAAGGGAAGTCAAACTCTTTTTATTTATCTATCTAAATTATTTTAATCTATCTCCCCATATTTTAACATATCTATATCCAAATTATTTTAATTTATCTATCCCAGTATTATTAGTTATTTGTTCAAATTATTTTAATTTATTTATTTGTTGCCATGATTTGGACAAATAGGTACTTGAAGCTTAAAATAAAAAACAAATCATTTATGATTTTAAAATTTCAACATGTCATAATTTTACATTAAGTAGTCTGTTTTGAATGATATATATTTTTTTTGCTTTTATTTCATGTATTTTTTCAAAGGGTTTTAGTTTAAAGTCCTGATATTAAGATTTTATAAAATAAATGACATATAATATTTTTATAATAGTTAAGATTTCTCAACATTTTCATAGAAAAATTTCAATACAGAGTTCAAAGTGAAATTTTATAGAGAAATTTCAGTTTCACTGATAAATTTTAGCTCATAATCTTATTTGAAAAATATTAACAAAAAAATAAAAAATATACATATATCAATTTTATTAAAAACGAATCTATAAAACTCAAATTATGAGATTTTAAATTATTTTAATACAAAATAAATTTATTTAACAAAAAATTGGAGTAATTACATTCCAATGGGACAAAAACTTTTTCTTTTACCAAACATGGAGGGGTGCAGGTCACTCTTGAACTTCCATAACATTTCACTTGTATCCCATCACATAATCAATTATATCTCGCATTTTTTTCGTATTTTTTTTTTTTTTATTTCAACTGTGCTGTAATTTCTCCTTAAAAATTTAGCACATGAAAGTATTTCTAAATAAAATTAAAAATTAAATTTATGACTTGAACCCTCAAACTAAAATAGTACAAATTAAAATTTTAAAAATTCTAACCAAACAAATAGCTAGTCGTAAAAGTCATGCCGGCTACTTGTTTTCCTTTGTCTGTTTTTCTTTTCCGATGAACCAAACAAGGCCCCGCAGCCACGCTGTAAGGTCAGTGAGATGGGGTCCACACTGAAATCACACCGAGTGTTCTCTATTGGCGTGCTAAATTGACCGCTACTTTAAATTAACTCCCGTTTCAATCAGTCAGAGTCCACCCTGTCTTTCTCATCTCTCAAAAACTCATCTTTGATCATCTTCTAGTGTTACTGGTATATTCTTTGATATATTTAGGCTCCCAAATATCAAAGATATGTCTGGTTTAAGTGCTGATGATGCAATTTCAAGCACTGTGATTGAATCTGAGTATTCATGCCGTTGCTTTTCACTAGATGAGACACAATCAATGACCAACAATTTTGATGAAGAATTAGTTATTGGGATTGGCGGATTTGGTAAGGTATATAAGGGGTTCACCAACGACGGTGCTACAACTGTCGCTATAAAGCGGTTGAAGGCAGAGTCCAATCAAGGCGCAGAGGAGTTCTGGAATGAGGTCAAGATGTTGTCTAAGCTCCGGCACACTCATCTTGTTCCTCTGATCGGCCAATGCAGCGACTGCCAGGAAATGATCCTTGTTTACGAATATATGGCTCGTGGGACCCTAGCCGATCATCTCTATAAAAGAAGTAGAAACCAAACTGAAATTACTAGTTTTCATCTCACATGGGAGCGGAGGCTCAGCATTTGCATCGGCGCAGCACGAGGGTTAGACTACCTTCATACTGGTACCAATCAAAGTTTCATACACCGAGATGTGAAGACCACAAACATTCTGTTGGATGAGAATTGGGTAGCCAAGATTTCAGATTTTGGGCTGTCCAAAGGCACTACAAGCCATTCAGCAACCCATGTTAGTACAAAAGTCAAAGGTACATTTGGGTATTTAGATCCAGATTATTTTTATACCCACAGACTAACTAAGAAATCTGATGTGTATGCTTTTGGTGTGGTGTTGTTGGAAGTGCTCTGTGGGAGGCCACCAGTGGATACAAGTCTCAAGGAAGAGGAAATTAGTTTAATCCTTTGGGGTCAACAACACATCAAAAAAGGAAAGGTTGATCGAATCATTGATCCCTCATTGAGTGGACAAATAACACCACAGTGTCTAAAGTACTTTGTAGAAGTTGCCTACAATTGTTTAGATACTAGTCCAAAGAAAAGGCCTACAATGGGTGAAGTGGTGGGGACTCTTGATCTTGCATTGGTGTCACAACGTAAAGGAAGGTCGGAAGGAATGATTGGAAAGATGTTTAAGGGTATTGCAATTGTGCCAAAAGGTATGAATCATTGGTGGGGGGAAAGAAAGGACAGCGGTTCTAAGAATGGACTGTCTAAGGATTTGTTTTCGGAACCACTTTCGGATGGTGCTACCCGACCACAACGTCAATTTTCACTTGCTGAGATTCGAGCGGCTACAAATGATTTCGATACGGAACTTTTGATCGGTTGGGGTAGGCTTAAGAAGGTGTACAAAGGTTGCATAGATGGGGGAACTAGTATTGTCATGATCAACAAGATCGATGCACTGTCATTGTATCATTGGGAAGAGGTTAGGGCTAACATTAAGGTACACTCCCTACTTGAGAATCACCCCCACATAGTCTCTCTGTTTGGATTTTGCAATGAGAAATCAGAGTTAATCGGCGTGTATGATTACATGGAGAATGGGTCCTTGGAAGATCATTTATTCAATACAAACGACTCACTTCTGTGGAAAGAACGACTCAAGATTTGCATTGGTGCAGCACGAGGACTACAACATCTCCATGAGAATGCGAAGCGAAGAGTCATCCACAGTGACATAAATCCAACTAATATTCTGTTGGATGAGAATTGGGTTGCAAAACTTGTTCATTTCGGGTTTTCCGAATCAATGTACAATGACATTACGACTGTAACAACATTTTCAAAGCCTTACGGTGGTATCGGATATGTGGCACCAGAGTATGTTATGCACGGAAAATTAACAACAAAATCTGATGTATATTCATTTGGTATGGTGTTATTGTCAGTATTATGTGCTAAGAAACCATATTATTATAACCTAGATGGGGATCGTACGTCCTTAGTCCATTGGTTCATGAGTGGTATGAAAACCATTGATCAAGTCATTGATCCAAATTTGATTGGGAAAATAGCACCAAAATGCTTGAAGGAATTTGTTGATATTGCATTAAGTTGTCTACTTGATCAGGACAACCGACGACCCTCGATAGACAATGTGGTAAGGAGCCTGCATTCTGCATTACAACTACAGGAGGCTTGGGAGAATCATTTTGAGATTGGTGCTGAGTTACCTGTGATCGACTTTTATTGTTGTAACATCTTCTCTGTTGATGATGACTTGACAATTGGCGGATTGAGCATTTTTCCTTCAGATATTGATGATGATCTTGTTTCCAATTTTGATGCAAGATCGAATGGATCCTTGTCAGACTCGGATTTTGACGAATTACATCGTTAATTAAAAAGCTTTTGGATTTGACTCTTTTTACCTACATGTATGTCTTTCCACTTTATATTGTATTTTTTTTTTTCTTCCCTTCATTTGTTATGTTTGTCATATATTGTTGGATATAAAATTTTTCGTTTTTGAATATCCACATTGATAAGATTTTCGTTGAATTTTTCAAATTCTCATGAATATGTGTTGGGATTTCTTTCATGATTAAACTAGCGTATTACTTGTGCTATGCACGGGGTTAAACAATAATCGATAAATTTATTTTTTAATTAATTTAAAATGTTTTTACAATAAGTTATCTCTTTTTTTTAAAATTTTTTTAATTATATCAAAAAATTTTATTTTTCTAGTCCATCTTGTGTAGAGGTATATATATATACATATGTATATATATAAAAGTAAAAATTAGAAAATTTTATGAAAGAAAATTGAAAAAGTTAAAACAAGCCCCAAAAAAATTCAGTATTTTTTGCTCATTTTTATCTTTTCTGGATTTTTTTTCAAACTTTTTAAAATTTTCAAATTATATATGCTTAAAATTTCCCTTCGATTTCCTTTTTAAAATTGGATACAGCTAAAGACATGTTAATATTTTCTTTTGAAATTCTCTCTATAGACGGTGCTTTTTTTTCTTTTCTTTTTTTTTTAAAGTTAGATATGGGTGTCTTCAAACTGAATTTTGATGGCTCTGTTAGGAAGGCCCATGCCAGTGCTGGTGTTGGCATTATTATTCAGGACTGTCGTGGGGAAGTTATTGCGTCTATGGTTGAGCAGATCCAGAATATGGAGGATGTTGATTGTGTGGAAGCTATGGGTGCGATAAAAGCTCTTCAACTGGGTTGTGATTTGGGATTCTCTATAGACGGGGCTTTTTTTTCTTTTTTTCTTTTTAAAGTTAGATATGGCTAGATGTATTTTATGTCATTTTAATTTAAAGAAATTTTGATTGGGAATTTTTTTAAGGTTCATGATATTATAAAATAAATGACATACAATATTTTCATAGTCGTTAAAATCCCTCAACATCTCACAGAGAAAATTCGACTCAGAGAAATTTCACCAGATTTAGAGAAATTTCGGCCCCGACACAGAAAAATTTCAATTTTCACAGAGAAATTTATCTAATTTCACAAAGAAAATTTGAAATTTCTCTATAGAAATTTCATCAAGGGACCTTACCTAATTCTTAAAAAAAAAAAAAATAAATAAATAAATAAATAAATTTGGCCTCTCCTATTATACAAAGTTAAAGAGGGATGTTTCACTAATTTTTCCTAAAATAAATATATTCAAATTTTAGACTGAAATAATTAGTGGAATTACTTTTGAGTACAATTACATTTTTTTTAAAATCTTTTTAAATTTCAAGTTCGGTACTGATATGGATATAACTTCTTCTTTTCTTTTTTTTTTTTTTTTTTTTTTTTTGACTTTCTATATAAAAAAAATTAATTTGAAATTATAAAAATAAAATATAGATATAGATAATATATGTCATAAATAGTTCATAAATTGATAATTAAAAAAATTTCATATTAATCGAGGAATCAATTAAAACTTTAAAATCAACTCATTTGTCACGTGTATTTATATAATTTTTAATTTTAAAATACTATAAAAATAAAGTTTGAACTTTAGAGATCAAATGCCTAACAATATTTGTATTTATATAATAATAGTATAGATAGATATACATTCACATGTTAAGTGAATTATGAGAATAAAGAAAATTATAGAAAACATGTATATATTTTTAAATGAAGATATTGTACATCTTTATGAACTATTATATAAAAATGTTCCAATAAAAATTTACTTCTAAAAATATGATGATAAAATTTCTCTAATATGTATTTTTCAGTGAGACCCACTATGATGCTCGAGTATATAACTCGTCTTATTCTCCTTTAATCGGGTTTATCTTTCTCGTTTTGGAGATGTCGGAAACTAATCTGAGGCTTCGTCGATCGTTTAGGTCTATCGTTTCTTGAAACTTTTCTTGGATTTACATCTCCGTTTTTGTTTCTAGAGTTGAGTTTTTGTTGTTTCAGAGGTATAGTTGGAGTTGGAATGGTCATAAGATTGTCAAGCTTGCAAAATCTAGAGGAGTAATAGAACTGCACGTGTAGGGGTTGGAGCCGCACGTGCAGGAAGATGTGTCCCACATGATGGGATGCTTTCGGAGGGCTGGGATTGAAATAACTGCATGAGCGGAAGGTACGTGCGGGAGGCGTGCCACAAGTGCATGAGGCAGAGTCGTATATGCGTTTACATCTCCGTTTTTGTTCTAAAGTTAAGTTTTTCTTGTTTCGGAGGTATAGTTAGAGTTGGAATGGTCATAGGATTGTTAAGCTTGCAAATTCTAGAGGAGTAGTAGAACCGCACGTGTAGGGTTTGGAGCCACACGTGCAGGAAGGTGTGTTGCATGTGCGGTGATAGGGTGTTTTCGGAGGGTTGGGATTGAAATAATTGCACAAGCGGAGAGCACGTGCAGGAGGTGTGCAACAAGTGCAAGAGGGTGAGCTGCATGTGCGGTGAAGTGGAATTTTTCTGGGCGTCATTATTGAAATAACCGCACATGTGGGGGATGAGTGTCGCACGTGCGATAGAGGTACGCTCTACACGTGCGAAAGAGGGCACGCACGTGCAAGAAATGTGCTAAGTCTGAAAAATTTTCTTTTCCTTCTCCTTGGGCTAAGCGTATTTATTGATTTCTCATATTTATCTCTATCTCTAAACCTTATTATCCTCTCCCTTCTCTCTACAAACACCCAACTACCACCAAAAATTCTTGATTTCTCTAAATCGACTTGAGGTTTGACCCAAGTGCCTTCATTAAAGTTAAAGAGTTCATCAAGGACTATGTTGTGTGCGGTGGAGACTGGATTTTGACACCATCAAATTTTGGAGCTTTTCTCATCTTTTTTCTCCAATCTTGAGGTAGGGAGTTTCTTTGAGCTATATATATGATTTTGGCATATTCTAGTCTTTTCTTGATGTTATCTTTGATTTTTGAGTTAGGATTTTGGGATGTTGTCATGTCTCGTATTTTATTACTCGAACAAACTTACCAATATTCATTAATTAAATCCATTTATAAATAACATTTCATCCTTGGATGAAATGATGAATAATTAAATATACATATTCCCTCTCGTTGTACAACAATGACATTTACATACAAATAAAAGAAATGTCCTGACGCTTACAATAAAAGAGAGGACTCTACTTTTTTTATTAAAAAAAAAAAATAGCACTCAGCCAAACAACAAATGAAGTAGTACAATCCATCACTACATTACACTTATGACATGGTAAAACCCATTGTTTGATCTTCAAATCCAAAAAGCATTCCCTGTACACATATACAGGCAGGAGGTGAGCAACCACTAGCTCACCAAGCAATCTCATATAAAAGCATTAGAAGATATGCAGGTACCAAAATACTCATACATATATGTGAAATCATATCATGTCAAAACCCTATGATTTTATTACATAATCTCTTAAATCCAATTTATTTAATTAAGGAAATGCCCTGAGGCTTACAATAAAAGAGAGGACACTACTCTTTATAAAAAAAGAATAGCACTCAGCCAAACAACAAATGAAGTAGTACAATCCATCACTACATTACACTTATGAAATGGTAAAACCCATTGTTTGATCTTCAAATCCAAAAAGCATTCCCTGTACACATGTACAGGCAGGAGGTGAGCAACCACTAGTTCACCAAGCAATCTCATATAAAAACATTAGAAGATATGCATGTACCAAAATACTCATACATATATGTAAAATCATATCATGTCAAAACCATATGATTTTATTACATAATCTTTTAAATCCAATTTATTTAATTAACCACAACAAGTTAACTTAAATAAATAAACATGTTTCAATAGCAACAGGACATCCTTTTCAATTCTTTCAATTATCTCATTATCAATTGAATCAAATAATTAAACAATTCATCAAATTCATTTTGTGATGACCAGTGCATATTTTTGCTTTGCTCTTTTGAGGTTATGTTGGAATTCTCATTGTTAAATGTCAGGTTTTAAAAGCGTGTTTCTGTCAACGTTTGGATTCATTACTTCCGAGGACTTCTTCACAAAATTTTCGCTCTTGTTTGTTTTTATTTTGAGTTTTTACTTGTTTCGGAGGATGCATGGTTGTGTTCGGAGTGCCGGGAGTCGAGCCAAAATTTTTTGAGCTACTGGGCCAGGGCCACATGTGCGGAGAAGGGCCGCACGAGCGGCGGGGAAGGCCGCACGAGCGGTGAGGGCTTAATTTCGTGGGGTTGAATTCTGAAATCAACACACGAGCAGGGGAAGTGGACTGCACGAGCGGTGGAGGTGGGCCGCTCGAGCGGTGGGGTGAGCCGCACGAGCGGTGAGGGCACGACACGTGCGACCAACTGGGCAGCTGAAACTCTATTTTTTATATCTCTTTTGTCTGAATGTATCACTCATTTTACACATTTCTCTCTCACTCTAAACCCTATTTTTCTCCCATTTCTCTCTAGAAAACTTCCTCAAGCATTAAAACTCTTTGATTCTTGCAATCTTTGGGCCAAGATCATCATCATCTCCCTCTAAATCTTAAAGATCAAGAACTAGGGCTCCTCTTGGTGTAGTGTGGGTTGAAGGATCATCCATCTAAACTAGGGTGAAGACACCCCATTTTTTATCGCCCTTAAGACTTGGGCGCTACTGATCATTTACTTGGTGGTGAAAGATATGCAGTGCAAAGGTTCGGTCTCTTCGACAAGAGGAGCTTCAAATCCCAACCTTATACCCCTTTCTGGACCAAAACCATTTTGACCAAAGATTTTTAGATCTTAAAACCCTCACTTTCAAAATATTTTTGAAACAAAGTTCCTACGATGTTCCGAGGCTCGCATTTTGTTAAATGTTACGCTTTTTGGTAAACCGAGCAAGGACAAAGTGGGAATGAATGAAAGAGAGGTGAACTCTTTGAAAAATCTTTCAAAACACCTTTCTTAAGGGTTTGGAGTTGAAGAAAATGGGAGAGGAGAGAAGAAAACAAGTTGGGGAAGAAGTTCAGCATGAATCCGG